CTTTTTAACCTACGGTAACTAAAGTATCACCCTTCTCAATCCATATTTGATACAAGGGTCATAGCAAAGTGTGAGCTTAGCTAGCACTTGAATTGAAAATGAAGTGCTCCAGTGTAAGGGATTAGGAAGTGTTGATGTATTTGGCTCCTTTGTTTCTACTACTGTGTTAAGTCTTCATAATTAGTTTTTGTAATTGAAAGGTTGCACTTCAAGGCAGAGATTTGTAAGAGATGCTTATGTTGACAATATCATTTTTTTTTTTTTTTTTTTTTGCAGGATCAAGAAAATCAGTTGCTATACGCTTGCTTGTAACATGGAGGGAATCAACGGGAAAAGAATGAGGGGTGATATCTGTTTAGGAACTACGATTATGAGTCTACATTAGAAGAATGTCTTCCGATTGACTGCTCATCTGATGATTGATAGGCGGTCGCACACCTAACAAAAATAATACCTAACTATTCCTCCTAATTATGTAGCAGGGTAAGTCAGGGTCGATCCCACAGAGACTATGGTTCACCTAAATTTTCTAGACTCAAGTTATTACTAAGCAAGTAACAAATTCAATGATGAAGAGTATTAACTACTAACTACGGAATATTAAGGAAATAAATTAACACGAAGATTAATATAAACTAAAACACCTAGAATTAGGAATCCCCACTAATATAGAACAATACGTCAAAATAATCCCTTTTCCACAATCAAATCAATAGATATTTCACAGGACGGGTGCTCCCTACAACAAATACTAAGAGTTTCTTTCGATCAACTAATAGCTTCCCTAATATGCAATCATACCTATTTTCATGGAGTCATACATATTAAAGACATTAAGAACGACATCCAAATAGTCCTAGCAAGAATAATTAGCTATTTTCATGCATAAAAATTCTTACTTTTAATTAGGGTTCTGAAATCAATTAAGAATCAACTTTCGTTGTAAACCTAATCACATTCAATAATACTATTTCTAGTTAATCATTGATAATAAAACCAACCCTAATAAAGAGGAATTATAAATTAATTAGATATGGGATTGAGAATCAAACAACATATTAATCCATATTAGGGTTCAACCTAACTCTAGATTATAAAACTACTCACACATGTTGATTAAATAAACGAAATAATTAACGAAAGAAAACATAATGACAATAATAATAATAATAATAATAATAAGAAATAAAGAGAAGAAGAAATACTTGAATAAATGGAGAACTTGAATTAAACTTCAATGGAACAAAGTTGGAAGAACAAGAAGAAAAACCAAAGTATAAATTGGAATAATTGTGATGATAAAAGTCTCCCTTTTCTATCTTGTTATTAGTCTATATATATCCTAGGAATTTTAGTGGGCTTAGGACTCTAAATTAACATAATTAAGGGCCTAAAACGCAGCAATTAGGAGCCACCACGGGTAGGCTGTGGAGAGCCGTGTTCGACCACAGGCAGGCCGTGGAGAAGGCTGCCGTAGCTGCTCTTTGCCATATGAAAACGAGTTGGCCACAGGATGGCCGTGGAGAGAGTTGTACGCCCACAGGCAAGCCGTGGAGGTGGCTGCCATGTCCATTATTGTATGTAAATTTCTCCCTTTAACAAGTCGAATCACGATCAAAGCAAACCTCTAGCAAATCTAGCCCAATTCCTACAAAAATCAAAATAAAACAAACCAAGGAGAGCAATATCGAAATATAAAGAATAATAGCTCTAAAAGATTAAAAGTATGTAGAAAACATGATAAAAACCCGCAAATATAACATATAAAATGAATATATAAACGTGTTATCAAATTCCCCCACACTTAACCCTTGCTCGTCCTCGAGTAAACAAGACAAAATAAGAGAACTACTCTAAGAAAGCAATAAAATCCTAATACTCATTGTCGTAGGAATCACGATTGCATTTAGCGTATGCAACAAGCCCTTTAAACCCCTAGGCTACCCTAGTGGACGAGTAAGGTCTCGTGAAGGTTTTCAGAAGGCGTACCTACAAATCCTAGTTATGAAATTCCAAACCAAATTGCTCAACCAAGTGATTAATTTGAAAAAAAAAAACAAAAATAGGAAGATCGTTTTTATCACAAATCAATAATATGGATGAAACAATAATGCATAGCACCTTTTAAATGACCAACCAATCTTACCACACATCTCCCCATACCAACTCACACAAACATGAATAGCTCTCACTTTAGTTGTGAAAAGTAAAAACGAATAACGCTCATGTGTTTACGGGGTGAAATATGATGTCACTCAACCTAAGCATAGAATGCATGTCAACTTCACATGAATTGGCCTCTTTAGGCTTGCAATGTGACTTTCTCCACTTCTAATGATTGATGCAATTACGAAAATCATGAAATCCAATAAGGGTAAGCTTGGTAATCAAGGGTTGGACGACGTAATTTGGGAATGTGGTGCTCAAAACATATAACAAATCCTAATCCCACTACACATTCAAATGTCGGGTTCAAGCCAACCTTATTTCCTCCAACTTCATACAAAATAAGCATAGCCCTTTTATTTCTTTCTTTTTCCTTCTTTTTTTTCAATCATACTCTTATTTTTTCTCTCTTTTTTTTTCTTAATTTTTTTTCACAAAAAGAAAGGGACTCATAGCAAATTAGGAATTAGGAAGACTTTTAAAACTCTTTTTTCTTTCTTTCTTTCTTTTCTTTTCTTCCTTCTAATAAATCAATTCCCTTCTTTCTCTTTGTCCTTTTTTTTTTCTTTTTTTTTATATATATATACATCACTCATAGGGCTTTAACAAGTGTAATGCACCTTCAAAATAATCCTAGGAAAATAGCTCTATGGCTTTGAACGTAGAATATCAAGAAGGGGTTAAAACACGGCTCAAATTGGCCCAACCTACGGGTGAATGAAAAATAAAAAAAATAAAAAAAAAAATAAAAAAAAAATTTAGACCTAGAATGTGGAGGCTCTATTCTCTACAAGGAAATTTCAATCATTTTTTCGCAACATGCATCATTCAAGTCTCAAACAGTCAAAAAGCAAGACCAAGAATTCAATTATGTGAAGGACAACTAATCACACATGAAGAAACACGACTGAGATAGAGTGAAATCAGTCAAATATGGCTCAAAAATCTCACTGGGTACACAAACTATTCACATAAGTAGAGCGGGGAGACCATCCTGACCACAAACCATTGTCATCAAAAGGATTTACGCTAATTTATTGAAAAGTTTGTGTAAGATATCATCATTTTTTTTTTGTTTCTTTGTTTTCGAAAATTACTTGATACGCATATTGGAATGGAAAATCAAAAGGTAACACTAAGACAAAACACTCTAGACTAACAGAATAAAAATTAAACCTAATATTTACAAAAGGTGATATCCCTCCCCCACACTTGAAAATTGCAATGTCCACAATGCAATAAATATAACATGATTAAAAGAGGGAAAGAAATACTCACAAAGCCTTATCATGGAGAGAAGCAAGGAGGATTTGTAGACCCATTTATAATATACCACACAAGTCCAACGCACTGCCTATTGTAAATCTCCCACAAGTCCAACTCCAAAAAGAGAGTTCTCTAACAATCACAAAGATTGAATAGCCCAACAAACAACAATTTCGAGAATGAAAATCCCGATACAGCAATTTCAAGAGCATAAATTCCAGCAATATTTGAATCCAAGTCTGGCCGTATTTTCGTAGATCAAGATTTTTCAAATTCGAGCTTGAATCCGACGAGTATCGCTGGGAACTCCGGTGATTTCGCTGGTGCTCAAGAAACCGGTGGTGTCGCTGCTATTTCCGGTGAGTTCGCTGCTCAAGAAACGGCTGAAATCGCTGCGAAATCCGGCAGCTTCGCAGGTGGTTTTCCGTAGATGTCGTTGTTCAAATTCCGGCGTGTTTGTGGCCAAGAAACTGGACAATTTCGCTGGTTAAAGTCAGCAGATTCGCAGGTTCATCACCGATACACAACAGCTCCGGCAACCGAGGCTTCAAGGGAGTGTGATTCCGGCGATCTTGCTACGAAAAATCTGAAGTTTCGTGGTCGAATTCCGGTGGTGTTGGGCGAAGGAAGAGCCGACTGATTCTGTGGCAGCAATTCTGGAGGAACCGAAAGGTATACAGCAGCCTTCTTTTTTTTTTTATTTTTTATTTTTTTTAGAGGGCTGTGACAACAGAATACACCACGGCTGGGCTGTGGTCTATTTGCTTGGACCGCGGCCAGCCTGTGGAACATGCTGCCTTGGTTGTTTTCTCACCCTCTTTTTTTTTTTTTTTTTTTTTCAACTACCCAATGGCTGGCTGCTTTGGGTGCAGGTTGCTTGCGGAGCTTGCTGTACCATGAAGTTGTATGGGTAAATTGCTTCCTCTGCCATTACATTACTTCCTCCTCTTAAAACCTCATTACTATTACTATTAGCTAATCTAGAAATAAAAAAAAAAATAAAAAAAAATAAAGCAGAATTAGAGAACTTGGGTTGCCTCCCAAGAAGCGCTAGTTTAAGGTCGTCTAGCTTGACCTCCCTTGTTGGCTCAACCGGGATCACTATGCGGAGAAGGAGGTCTGTGATGTTGTCCATGATTGCCTCCAAGCGACTCCTTCATCGGATTATTCACTTGCCTTATAACCGAATTCACCTTCATGTAGCCAAACATGCCATCGGGTGGAACTTTATCCTTTCCTCTCACGAAATTCCTGTCATACACATACTTATCAAACAGAGGGTTAGTAGCATCGATTCTCAAACAGGTACCACCATCAAACATAGAGTTATGCTCATCAAAAAGCTTGAACATGACTTGTTTATCCTGGGCCCCAATGACGACTTGTCTTTCGGGAACATCTATTAGGGCTTGACCCGTGGCTAGGAATGGTCGACCAAGTATGATCGGGATCTTACAATCTTCCTTCATATCCATAACCACAAAATCAACAGGGAAGACAAGTCCACCCACCGTAACTAAAACATCTTCAACCACACCCTTAGGAAGTCTAGAGGTCCTATCAGCCAATTAAAGAGAAATAGGGGAAGGTTTAAGTCCTTGCAAGCCTAAACTCTCATATAATGAATAGGGCATTAGGTTAACACTAGCACCTAAATCGCAAAAAACCCTGTCGAAAAATTTCTCGCTTATCGTGCAAGGAATAGTGAAACTACCAGGATCATGCAACTTAGGGGGTAGGTTATCATATAAGAGAGTAGGGCCCTTCTTATGTGCTACTTCCTTATCCTCGTGTTGATCTTTAATATTCTTCACAAAATTTGCAAACTGAGGCATTTGAATTAAAAGATCAGAAAAGGGAGTAGAAGCATGTACCTTCTTAAGGGCTTCGCAATATTTGCCAAAATGTCTATCGAGCACGGCTTTTGACAATCGTTGCGGGAAAGGCATTGGTTCTTCATAAGCCGGTGGAGCAACATATTTGGCACCTTGAACATCTTCGACCTTTTTATCTTTTCTAGACTCCACACTGCACACCTTCCCATCTAATTGCTTCGGAGATGGTTCGTCTCTTCTTAAGAAAACAGCATTACATTGCTCTTTTTGGACCTTCGCTTGATCGTGAAGAGTTGATAGGCGACTCACCTGTTGTGACAGTTGACTTATTTGGGTTTCCATGAGCTTACTCTGGGCTTGCAACTGTTGGATGGAGCTACCTTGTTGTTGGATGGCACTATTGGTTGTGGTAATGAAGCTCTCCATCATCAACTCAAGGCTAGATTTTTGGGGAAGTAGTTGCGTTGGTTGTTGGCTCATAGGTGGTGGATTTTGCTGTGCTTGGGTTTTCTTGTATGAGAAGTTGGGGTGGTTCTTCCATCCTTCATTATAGGTGTTGGAATAGGGGTCGTAAGGCCTTTTGGGGTTAGAGGAGTAGAAAGCATTGGCCTGCTCGATTGACATATCCTCTGTATTCTGCAAAATCTGCGGACAGTCTGGTGCAATATGACCCTGCACATTACACAATTGACACAACTCCTGTGGGCTAGTAGAAGCTCCCGCTTGGAACTTATCAAACCTGCTTGTTAGTGCTTGCACAAAACTGGTTAGCATAGTCAAAGCATCTACATCAAGCTTACCTCCCTTTTTCACAGTGTTTCGGCCTCCTGGATGATAATTATCGTTGGCTGCCATCTTCTCTATAAGCTCCTTTGCTTCAGTGGGGTTCTTTGTCAAGAGAGAGCCCCCAGATGCAGCATCAATGTAGATTCGGAACTCATGAGTTAGACCATTGTAGAAAGTTTGGATCAACATCCATTCAGGAATACCATGGTGAGGGCATTGTCTCTGCAAACGCTTGAATCTCCTCCATGCGTCATATAGGGACTCATCATCTGACTGCCTGAAAGTGGATAACTCGTTTCTCAACCTTGCAGTCTTTTCCTGTCCCAAGAACTTAGCTAGGAAAGCCTTCACCAATTTGTCCCATGTGTCAAATGAGCCAGAACCTTCATCTCTCAGCCATTCCTTTGCCCTATCCCGTAATGAAAAAGGAAAAAGGCGAAGTCTAAGAGCATCGTCTGTAACACCATTCATCTTCATGGTATCACATTTCTCCAAAAAGCTATCAATATGACTTACTGGGCAATCATGTGGTAGCCCTGCGAATGAATCATTGGAGATGAACTGGATGAATTGCGGCTTGAGCTCGAAGTGCTGAGCCGTCACAGGTGGTCTTACGATGCTAGAAAGGATTCCGGTAGTCGTATCAGGAATACCGTACTCCAAAAGGGATTTCGTTGGTTGGTCTACCATGTTTCTATTGGTTTGATTTCTCCTTCTTCTTCTACCTGCCCGTCTTCTCGCGGTTGCTTCGATTTCAGAATCAAAAGGTGCTAAATCTTCCGAACCTGAGCTTCGTGTGGGCATGCAACAAGAAAACTAGAGAAAGAGTATCAAAAACACAAGAGAAAATAGCCGAAGCAACGAAATAAGCCTAGCAAAAACGAATCACAAATAATCTAATGAAACCATTAGTCCCCGGCAACGGCGCCAAAATTTGATAGGCGGTCGCACACCTAACAAAAATAATACCTAACTATTCCTCCTAATTATGTAGCAGGGTAAGTCAGGGTCGATCCCACAGAGACTATGGTTCACCTAAATTATCTAGACTCAAGTTATTACTAAGCAAGTAACAAATTCAATGATGAAGAGTATTAACTACTAACTACGGAATATTAAGGAAATAAATTAACACGAAGATTAATATAAACTAAAACACCTAGAATTAGGAATCCCCACTAATATAGAACAATACGTCAAAATAATCCCTTTTCCACAATCAAATCAATAGATATTCCACAGGACGGGTGCTCCCTACAACAAATACTAAGAGTTTCTTTCGATCAACTAGTAGCTTCCCTAATATGCAATCATACCTATTTTCATGGAGTCATACATATTAAAGACATTAAGAACGACATCCAAATAGTCCTAGCAAGAATAATTAGCTATTTTCATGCATAAAAATTCTTACTTTTAATTAGGGTTCTGAAATCAATTAAGAATCAACTTTCGTTGTAAACCTAATCACATTCAATAATACTATTTCTAGTTAATCATTGATAATAAAACCAACCCTAATAAAGAGGAATTATAAATTAATTAGATATGGGATTGAGAATCAAACAACGTATTAATCCATATTAGGGTTCAACCTAACTCTAGATTATAAAACTACTCACACATGTTGATTAAATAAACGAAATAATTAACGAAAGAAAACATAATGACAATAATAATAATAAGAAATAAAGAGAAGAAGAAATACTTGAATAAATGGAGAACTTGAATTAAACTTCAATGGAACAAAGTTGGAAGAACAAGAAGAAAAACCAACGTATAAATTGGAATAATTGTGATGATAAAAGTCTCCCTTTTCTATCTTGTTATTAGTCTATATATATCCTAGGAATTTTAGTGGGCTTAGGACTCTAAATTAACATAATTAAGGGCCTAAAACGCAGCAATTAGGAGCCACCACGGGTAGGCTGTGGAGAGCCGTGTTCGACCACAGGCAGGCCGTGGAGAAGGCTGTCGTAGCTGCTCTTTGCCATATGAAAACGAGTTGGCCACAGGATGGCCGTGGAGAGAGTTGTACGCCCACAGGCAAGCCGTGGAGGTGGCTGCCATGTCCATTATTGTATGTAAATTTCTCCCTTTAACAAGTCGAGTCACGATCAAAGCAAACCTCTAGCAAATCTAGCCCAATTCCTACAAAAATCAAAATTAAACAAACCAAGGAGAGTAATATCGAAATATAAAGAATAATAGCTCTAAAAAATTAAAAGTATGTAGAAAACATGATAAAACCCGCAAATATAACATATAAAATGAATATATAAACGTGTTATCAATGATAGAAATTCGGCATCTCCTAGCTTGTCATTCGTGAATTCTGAAGTCAAAGACACTTCTGATAAGTGAAAACCTTCCTTTCTATATACCTACATTTGAATGCACTCTAGGGCAACAAGTTGTTGAGCTTCAGATTAATCATGTTCTCACTATTTTCATGCCTGCAATCTGGGACATATTTTTGATAATGACTATTTTCATTCTTCAGATTAATATCAAAGCATGGTTTTGGTGTCTTTATCTCACGCAATTTATAATCATTGTTGTATAAGACAATTATTAGAGTTTCATATTCCTTTTTCCCCCAATACTTCTACACAGTTGGATGTTGGCTAGCTTAGAATAAGAGAGAATTACAATTTGACAGGACAAAGGTAGAATTTTCGTAAACCCTTTATGTATATTTTTATTTACATCTTAATACTTGATATGGTCAATATTTGTGAAAGATGTACCAATAATGAAACCCTTCTTAAGTTTCAAAAAAAAAAAAAAGGGAAAAAGGTTATGTTTTTTTCCTTAATGAACCAGTCGACAACTAAAATGAAGGAATAAGGAGGATACCCATAAAGAAAATGAGAGAACGTGGGGAAATTTAAAAAGGTGGGAGAATATTTTTTAGGGTGTAATTGTGTAAGGAGATGAAAATACTTTTTAGATTTTTTTTTAATAGAAACTTTTTAAAATGTTACTACTACGTAATTTCTTTCAACAACTTTACGTAACTACCTCCATTTCTTTTTAGTTGCAACAAAGAGGTTTTATTTGTTGTAAATAAAATTGAACGGAGATAGTATTAATTAATCTAATGTGATGCTGTAACAATTATTAGAATATCAAATTGATAACAAATATCACCTTTAGAATAAAATTTTCAACCTAAATATTTTTTTTATATATAAATTTTTTGTATGTGTAATCATAATAGATAGTTTGAGAGAGAGAAAGCGAGAGTACAACCATAATAAAATGAGATAGATATGTTTTCTCTACTTGTGAAACTAAAAGATAACATATATGCAAGTAGAAGTTAATTATAAAATTTGTATTTTATTTAAAAAAAAAAAGAAACAAAGAAGATGAAATTTAACAAATATAATCATCATAAATTTATTAATTGAATCGTAAAAAATATGTGTCAAAAGCGTTTTACTTAATAATTTTTACAAAATTGGAGGGAATGCGCGCGTAGCGCGCATCTCCACAACTAAAAATTATAAGAGAACACCTGAACTAAAAATGAGGCTAAAAATGAAGGAGAAGAAGAGGATATCACACAAACAATTATTTTTTACTTCATATGTTCCTTCATATTGAGAAATAGAGAAAGTATATACTTCATATGTCCCTTAATTTCACAGCTAAAAATTATAAGAGAACACCTGAACTAAAAATGAGTAACGCATCAGTATCTGGAATGTAAAAAAAAAAAAAAAAAAAAAAAAAAAAAAAAAAAGAGAACGCCTGGAATGTCAAAGCAAAAGACCGAACTACCCCCTGTCAATCTGGTCAATCAAGGAAGGGTGCTAAGGGCAAGTGAGGGCAGAAACGTCAATTCCATGTTCATAAGGAACATTAAATTGGGAATAGTAAATGCACTTGGGGCTTTTATATAGGTTAATTATAGAATAATAACCTCACAACCTTTTTTAATTCACCTTCTCTCTCATCCCTTCACATCTTATTCTTCACTCAAAAACAAACACTAGACCACTACCACTTTCACCGTCACCCCCTCACCGCCAACTCCAATGATAAACACCATTGCCACCAAAAACTCCAAATTCCTTGCCTTCCTCTCCATAATTCGCCCCAAAAATTCGACCTATTTGCTGCAGAAGACGAAGTTCAGATCAAATCGCAGCACTTTGTGCGCTCCGTTCACCAAAAACGACCCAGAAATTCGACCCATAATCGTTGAAGAAGACGACGGTGCAACAATCTCTCTCCTCGCTGAAACCCTTAACTCTCCTACACCATTAGCTCAAGAAACCATTGTGCAACTCTGCTTAATCTCTCAATTTCCTGTAAAAAAAAAATCTCTCATATCAACTCGTGGGGTTTAGATTTCGTCGTTTTTGTGTTCAATTGATTTGATTTTTGCCATTTTTTATTTGAATGATTTTTGCTTTTGTTGATTCATTATGAGAATAATGTTGAAAATATGTTGTTTTATGCGTAAAATTAATTTGATTTTTTAGATAGAGGTAATTTTATCAATTTGAATTTATGAATATGAGAAATGTGCTAATTGAATAAATTGATGAAATATTGTGAATTTTTTGGATTAATGAAAATGTGTTGAATATTGATGATTTTGTTGTAAACTTCGTTTTATTTTTTATTTTTTATTTTTTATTTTTTTTTTTTAATTGAAAAATGGTGGCAACCGGTTTCAGCAAGTCAAAATTCTTTACCTACATTCATGGGTAAAGTACCCTACCTCCAACTTTTGTAACTTGAGTACCTTTAATTTAGTGCAACTTTTCCCAAACTTCAGTACTCTCAATTTGTATTAACTAAAAAAAAAAAAAAAAAAAAAAAGGTTAAACACTTGTATTTGTCAAAAGAATTTAATGGTTAAACACATCACTTAATTTGCATAGATGTTTTTTAGACTCTAGTTACCAATCTTACCATGATGTTATTAATATCGTATCACACATTTGTATATCCATTTAAAATGCATAAAAGTCTTTAATCCCTCCATATAAGAATCAATGCAATTTGTCTAATACGTTGGTTTGTAAATGTGCATTTTCATAATATCAAATTTATTTATACTTTTCTCCAACAATAAAAATTATGGAATATTTTGAGTAATGACTTATTTTTCATATATCAACATATACTCCATACATAACAGTCAAACTACTGCACTTTTTCCAACTAATTCCGAGTTCGGTTTCTAAAATTTTGACCGAGTACCCCTATTATTAGGGCTGTACAGAGTTTGGTTTGAACCATAACCAAAACAGACCAAACCAAACCATATTTTAGCGGTTTGCTTTGGTTTACGGTTTATAAAAATACGGTTTGGTTTCGAATTTTTTGTAAATACTGTTTTACGGTTTGGTTTTTCAAAATTTATAAACCAAACCAAACCGTAAACCAATAAACCGTATTTTAATATTTATATAATTTTTAAATAAATAAAAATAATTATTATATGTTTAAAAATTTTTAAAAATAATAATTGTTATTTTTATTGTAAATTTGTAATATAATTTAATCTGTTGGGATAATTATTTAAACTTTATTATAAGTTAATGTAGTATTATTTAGCATTTTTAAGAAAAAAATGTCAATCTCATCACAAACCGCAAACCAAACCGCATTATAACGGTTTGGTTTGGTTCGGTTTTAATACTATTATGGTTTGGTTTCGTTTGACAAATTGACCAAACCGTAATTTACGGTTTGGTTTGGTTCGGACTCAAACCGCACCAAACCAGACCATGTTCACCTTTACCTATTATTCAAGAACGACTAAGTTATGTTATGAGGAACTATTTTCTTAAATGAGTCAGGAATGCCCAGAAAGGGATTTCAAGGCCCAGAAAAGAGATCTTAATATTTTTTGGGCCACACTACTCTCAAATTTGTTTGATTAGGTTAGTTCCCGTGCCATGCACGGTAATTTCCACTTCGTATATCTATTATTAAACTATCATTATAATTAGTTTTTTATTAACGAAAAAAATCTAAAAACATAATTGACAAATTGTGATCAAAATAAAGGATTATACGAAAGATATGCTAGATATAAAATGATGTAAAATATTTTTATTATTATGTTAAGACTTTTTATTTATAGCTATATAAATATTTGTGTCAATGATATGTCAAATCTTTTTTATTTTAAGTAATTATATTTTATAAAATTAGGGAATTATTTTGTATAAGATTTGTTTTTTTTGTTTGTTTAATATACTATGTAAAATTTAATTTTTTAAAAGAAAAAAAAAACCGGGTGTATTGCTGGTGTGTCTTTTAGGGCCTGTTCCGATTGACTGAAATCATCTGAACTGAACTGAACTGAGCTGAGCTGAACTGAACTGAACTGAACTTATTAATTTGTGATTTTTAACTACGGATTAGTGATCTTTGATTATTTATTGATTATTTATTACTATACATATGTGTATATACAAATGTACATATTATTATTAATATTATTAATATTATTAATTATTGATGATTATTATTATTATTATTATTATTTATTGATTATTATTATTAGTATTATTATTATTATTGTTATTATTATTTATTGATTATTATTATTAGTATTATTATTTCAATTATTATTGTTATTATTATTATTATTATTATTATTATTATTATTATTATTATTATTATTTATTACTTATTATTATTATTATTGTTAATAATATTATTATTGTTGTTGTTGTTGTCGTCGTCGTCGTCGTTGTAATAAGAGCTTAAAAGAATGAAATTTGGCTTTATATCATTAGCAATATCATTAGACGTAAATTAAGAGCTGAATTGAATTGAGTTGAATTGAACTGAACTGAACTGAATTTCAACGGAAGAGAACAAACCCTATATATAAAGTATTGATTGATCATCAAACCGACATTGGTAGTTTGACAATTGACATTGAACTTTCTAGCAAATACTCAAAAATTAAATCAAATTTCAGGCTTAATTATTCTGTTTATCTGAAAACACAAAACATCAATTATACAACCCTAACCCCCTGCTCAAGTTCTCTACTCCTCAAGTTCCCTGCTCAGTGCTCAATCACCGAGTCACGAGTCTCACAACCCAAGTTCTTCTCGGCGACCTGACGGAGTGACGGTGTTCAGGGGCTGCTCACTGTTCTCGGCCTCCAACTCCTCCAAGGCTCCAATTAAGGTTCCCTTTTTCCTTTCTCTTTTGTTTCAATGTTTCAATAAGGTTCTGTTTTTTGTTGGTTAGAATTTGAGTATGAAATTATGAATTGAAATATTGAATGATTGAATTGATTAATTTAATTGAACTATTGAAGATTTGAAGTAATCAAGTATAATGTTGTTGTTTGCCAGTTTATATAATAATTGAATTGACCAAATTTGCTATGTTGAATTGTTGATGAATTTAACTTGCTGATTTATGATTTTACGAATTGAATTTGTTAATTGTTATGTTGATGAATTATATGTGCTAATTGCCTAATTTCCTACTGCCTTATTGCCTAGTTGAAGTTCTATTTTTTTTTCTAATTCAATTGAAGTTGTAATGATGATTGAACTTGCAAATATGATAATAATGATATATGTTCTGATAAAACATAATAATGCTGCAAATTTCAGAAATCTAATTCAAGAGATCCCAAGAAAGAAGTATTTCCAGTTTTTTTTTTTTTTTTTTTTTTTTTTTTTTTTTTCAACACAAAGAGAACCACCTGATAATCATCCTTCCAACCATCAAAACCCACCAAATTATGAAAATCCCCCTTTGGCCCTTTGTTTCATCAAAATCCACCAAATAGCATGGGAGATGGTTTGTTAAATGACACTTTAGTTACTTATTTGGAGAAAGATTTGTTCTTGAATGTAAGTCTTGATGCAATTGTAAATCGATTCCAAAATATGCGAACTCGTCGTGAACATTTGTAAATTTTTTGTAAGTACTTGTGTAGTAATGTAATAACATACATTCTATGTACTTTTTAAATTTGATTTTGTATTAATTAATTTGTCTTGGCTCATTCTTTAACTTAGTATACGTTGCGCTACCCCTGTTGGATCCGTCACTGCTGGAGTACAAATTTACAAGCCAAAGACTGCAAATCCAAAGCTTTAATTTTCATAGATTCATCATAAACTAAATGGTTAGTAATCCCTTATCTTTTAATTTTTTTTTTGTTAAATTTTTTAGCTGTTTTTGTTGCAATTTGAATTGTTCGTTCAATTTGTAATGAATTATGATAGATAAATTTGCAGCTGTTTGATAGATTGTTGTGATTTTAAGTTAAAATTAATGGGAACTTCATGAATATAACTTCTGCAGAAGATTTGTGGAGGATTTTGTGTAATATTTCAACTGCTTGTTGCTTTGTTTTGTAGGGTTTTTGTTAGAAATTGATTTTTTAGGGGTTGTAAGAATTTGGTTGATTTATTTGTGGATGTTTTAAGTGGGATTGTTCTTGATTTGGGTATTTTTGCTTGGTTTTCAATTGGTGTCAACTTGTTCTGTTTTTGTTCAATGTGTGGTTTCCCTTCCCATTTTAGGTTGAATTTGGAATAACTAGTTTTGTGCATGCAACTCATGTGTAATTTATGAGAATATTATGTAAATTATACGCTTATTTTGATCTTGTCGATGTTATAAGCTGTAAATTTAGCCGTAAACCTCGGATTTTCTGTTGAAGTAGTTGAGTTTGAGTTGAAAAGTGAGCTTCTGCTCTAATAGCATCAAGCACATCAAGTACAATCTCAACCTCACTACGTCAATTAGGTAGTGAGGGACTGAGGGGTGTGCAATATTTGTTTTAGGATTCTGATGGTTGGGGTGAGGGGTATGGCATCAGTGGATTCGGGTCGGTCAGATTGACCCGTGTAGGAAATAGAAATCATACCCATAACCATTTCCTAAACAAATAGGGAGAAAAGAAAAGAAGAACAAATCTTGTGAAAGGGAGTACAAGCTGTCTGATTCTACAATTGCTATGGGTTTTACCCCTCTATAATCTTTTGTATTTGGGTTCAAGGACACAGGAACGAACCGTATACTTTCTGTCTTGATTAGCTTAGTACATCTTCAGTATATCTGTTCATTGCAAAGTAACTAAAAACTTTGATAGCAGGGTAAATCTTGCATTCATACACTCTAGATAAAGTTGTTGATTAATTAATACTTTATTAATCATCATTAGCAGTATGGTTACTGAACACCTTGTGCTACATGTCCTATTTTGTGATAAAGATATTGATTTTTACTTGAAAGACAGTTCGATGAAATAGATTATTGAATATTCTGTCATTTCTGTGTAAGAGAACCTAATTTCAAATATAACAAGTGTTGCTGTTTGATAAAAGTAAGGATTTCTTAAATTATTATGTAGATCCCTAAGAGTCTCTGGTTTTTAAAAGTAATGTTTCCCTTTTTTGTTCTTCTATCATGCTATCAGCGTTTTGACTCAATTTTGTGCTTTCATGTGTTAAGATTCAAAGCATGCTCCCGAAATTGCTGTATTCTATTTATATACTTTGAAGATTGAATTTGTTGAGCGACTGTGTCGATTAGAATATATTTGCCTATCTTGGATTCTTTGGCATTTGGGACTTGTGTACTCTTGAAAATTCCATCGTATTGTGAACTTTTTGCACGTTGGTTGTTTGAGATTTGAAGTTATTGTCCCTCGTGAAGCATTCTTATTGTGAACTTTAGAGTTTGATATTAAATGCCGAATGATTCCAGGCAGCTCCTTTAATTGCTGGGATGACTGTTGCCGCTGCTGCTCTTGCTGGTAAATATGGAATTCAAGCTTGGCAAGCATTCAAGGCACGTCCACCAAGACCTCGAAAGTTTTTTGAAGGTGGTTTTCAACCTAAGATGACCAGGAGGGAAGCGGCTCTTATCCTTGGCATAAGGTAGTTGTGATTACTTTTAGATTCTTATGCAATAGGTTTCTTGCATGGGCTAAGAAGTTTCTATCACAAATTTTATCACTAAGCAGTGGTGCTAAGGTCTGTGCACGACTAGTTAGCTGAACATTTAATCTTGTACAAGTTTAAAATTAGTTGAAAGACAGAAAACGTATCAGTAAGCTAGATTATTGTAAAAGTTACTTTGCAAACTAATTGTCTAATTAATGTTATTTAACCTAAAATGAAAAAAAAAAAATCTTTAATTTAACTATGTCATTGTTTCACGTCATTTTATATGATTTTTTGTTACTTTGTGAAGTTTTAACTAAGCAATGGTGCTAAGGTCTGTGCATGACTAATTAGCTGATAATCTGGTACAAGTGGAATAATTAACTGAAAGACAGAATAAGTACTAGTAAGCTAGGTTATTGTAAAAATTGTGTACTTTGCAAAACTAACTGTCTAATGTTACTTTAACCTATAATTAAGGGTGCAAAAGGGGCAATAAGCTTAGTCTAGTTTTGAACTCCCCAGATCAAAGCTTTGCTCATTTAATTTTTACTGATTTTGGGGATTAATATTTCTGATTTTATAATGCAACAAATAAAGATTAAAGCTTGGATATTGATTAAAAATGGCAAGGCTTACAAAAGGATTGGTTATTAGCTTAAGGCTATCACTCTCAAAATGGCTTTAGGCCATGACTCTCTAAGGTTTCCCTTCAATACAATTTTCTGCCTATCTTTTCCTTTCCCCCTCTCTCTATTTATACTAAGGCTAAAGACTCTAACCTAATAATACAAGTATACTAATATTGCCCCTTTTTAGGTTAGTCTATTACAGTGAGTTAAGTGAATATTTTTTTCCTATCTGTATTTCCATAGTTATAGCTTAAATGTTGCAATGTCCCTTTAATTCTATAATCGTAGTGTTTGGAATTTTCTGGATAACTAGAAACATTTTCATGTTGCTGTAAGAACCTTTAATGATGCCAATTCCTTACTTTCAAGCTTTTGCCACGTAGTAGGATTCAAAGAAGGTTAATGGCCACTTAGCTTCTCTTAAATTTCTAAAGTATCTTTGTCACTTTCTATTATCTAAGTCCCTCATGTATACAGAGTATATGTAAGCCAGCATTTATTACTAATTTTTTAATTTTATTTGATAAGGTTTCTTGTTTTATGGAAATTTGGTTGTCAGTTTTTTCTTCTTCTTTCTGTCCCAAGTTTTAATTTTCAGCGTACTTCTCTGGACCTTACATTGGCAGGGAGAGTGCAGCTGCAGAGAAGGTCAAGGAAGCTCATAGAAAGGTAATGATTGCAAACCATCCTGATGCCGGTGGAAGCCATTATCTTGCCTCTAAAATCAACGAAGCTAAGGACATGATGGTTGGGAAGCCCAAAGACAGCGGCTCTGCATTCTAAATTTGGGGAGGATATTTTGTTTTAACCCTCGGAAATAAGATTATTTTCCTACCCCTCCACCAAAACCATGGCTAGATGCCTGCGCCTGAGTCTTCAAAGTTGGTGAAGGAACTCAAGTACCCTTTTTTTTTGGAATTCCTTTGGAAAAGCAAAGGTGAATGAGTATATACAAGTTGTAGTTGGCTGCAAATTTTGAACTTGTACGCTATTTGACTGGTATAAACACCAAAATTATTGATATGAATTCCTCTCATTAATCATTATCTTGTCATGTCATGTTTGTTACTGTAATATTGTATTGCTGTAATATTGTATATTTGTATTGTTGTTAAAGTGTGAAGTTTAAGCTATTTGGAATGGAAATCTTTATGGAATTTTCACCAGTTACTCTTGAGGTTATAAGAAGCTGCCCAGTTAATACCTGTGATAAACAAGTTTCGTTTATCACGGAGTAAAACCGCTACTTGAAGTAGCGGTTTTGCCATATAACCGCTATCTCAGTAGCGGTTTTACTCATTTTTACTGCAAAAAATACACTTTTGTCCCCATGATAAACGAAACTTGTTTTTCGTTTATCATGGAGATAAACTTGTATTTTCTCAGATTTTAAAGAGTGTGTCATGTACGATTGTACATGTACCCTAACCTTGATTGATAGGTAATCAATATATTACTCTTTAGTTTAAGGCAGGTGTTAAAGTTCAAGGTAATGCTTAGTTGTTTAATGTTGATCACGATTTGTATTAGCTATTTATGACATATCCCTTTCCCTAATTTTAAGCACCATTTTTTTTTTTTTTTTTTTTTGACAAGAACATGTCTAGTTGGATTCCATTTTTGAACAGGTTTTATTTAAATGCTGTTAATTCTCATCAATCCTATGGAAGCATCCCATTAGTTTTGCTAGCTAAGAAACACATGCAGGGGTCGTTTGGTTGGGGACTTGGGGTTAATCATCAAAAGGAATGGGAATTAACTGTCCTCTTTCCTTTTGTTGTTGTTTGTTAGACCATTTTTCCCATTCTCTTTACCCTCTTCATTCCCCTAAATCCCTCTAAGTTCATTCTCCAACCCCCCCCCCCCCCCCGTACTTCCATTCCCATTCATTGGCAACCATCTCACCACCATACCACCACACTCTTACTACACTCACCACCAGAAAATCAACCACTGCACCGTCGCTCTACCCCCAACAGCTCGCCGCACCTCCTTCGACCATTTGCCGCACCTCCACCACCCTTCCCCTCCCTCGTAAAACTTCCCCCAGCCCCCACAAAACCCTAAAAACTCCCCTCCTTCCACGTAAAACCATCAGACGACCCTCCTACCGCCCTCGAAACCCTTACGGGGAAGGAGGGGAGGTTTTAGGGTTTTACGGGTTTGGGGAAGTTTCACGGGGGCGGGAACAACTTAGTGGGGGTAGGGGAGGGGCAGCGAAGGGCAATGGAGGTGCGGCTACCGGCGGTGAGTGGTGGGGGGGAGTGCAGTGAGTGGTGAGTTGGCTCGATGGTGGCTAAAATAGGTGGAAATCGAAAGACATGGGTGGTTGTGTGGTGGTGATGTGGTGGTTGTGTGCACTGGTGGCTTATTTCCATTATTTTTCAAAGCAACAACATGGCAAATGTAAGGGTTTTTCATTCCATTCTCCTTCTTTCCCTTTGTTCATTCCACACTGTTTATTTTGTGCAAGCCAAACAACCCCTTAATGTGCATGTATGCAATATAAAAAACATACTAATCATTTGGCGATTGGTGTAGTAGTGATTGGGAATGTACTTGGTAGGGAGGACTCATGTTCGATCCCTCGCAACAACAATATATAAAGGAGACTGGAACCTAACCACCTAGAAATGATCCCCGAATCCGGATTAACCCAAAGGGTAAACCGGGTGGAACACCAAAAAAAAATTATATATAAAAAAACATATTAGGCTATGTTATCTTCTTTATTCTAATATAAAAAAAAACAATAAATATTACTCCGTGGTGAATTAGTGGGTGCAAATTTAAAAATTAGTGATAAAAAAATATATTAGTAAAAAAAATTGTTATTAAAAAAATACAATTGATGAGGTAGGTTTTTTTTTTTTTTTTTTTTTTTTTTTTGACAAAGTGAAATTTATCATTCAAACCCCTCTTCACTTTATATTCCCATTGTTTTTATATAAGTGTTCCACTTCGACCAGCACCCCACACATGTGTCAATGTATAAATTTGACTAATGATATTAATGATCAATAAGTATAAATTAAAAAATTGGTATTTGGAAACAATGATCAAGAAGATTAGACTGCATTTAGATGTTGTATAAATTAAAAAATTTGTTACAGAGTTTTTAATTAACAAGTATTCACGTGACCATATTTAATCTTATGTATAAAGTACAAACATTGGTCAAAGTGGTGCATGTAATTAGTGTCAAAGTCAAACCTTAGGACTTAAACAAAACCAAAGGGAGTATCATGTATGATATTGTTGGCTTTGTCTTGAAATGAATTTTTCAAAATATCAATTTTTAAGGATTTTTTTTTTTAAACTATATTGTATATAATTCCTCCGTTCTTTTATTATTGCACTATTTGCCTTTTTAGGAAGTTTCACAAATATTGCACCATTTCCTCTTTAGGAAAAAAATTATTTGTGTTCACACTACAAATACCCAATATACCCTTACTTTTTCACACTTACTTTTTAATTTATCAATATGTCACATGGGCAATTTTGTATATTTACCTTTCTCTCTCTTACTTTTTTCCACTATCAAAATATTGGTATCCAACCCCTATGGTGCAATAATAAAAAAACGGAGGAAGTATATATAATCAAGCATATTTACATATGCATTAAAAAGTGTAAAAGGTCAAAGTGTAATCATTGTAAAGAGATACTACAATTTTTGGACAACAATAAAATGATAGTTGTGTAATTGTCATAATTAGAGGTGTTAAAAACTGACCTGAACCAACACGATATACTAAAATCAACTAGAATAAAACTCGATTAAAATCAAGATTTATATGGACACAATAATTTATAACGAAATGTGAAATAGATCCAATCAGATCCGACTTGATTGCACCCGATTAAGAAAACCGAATTGACACCATTGTCTATTTAGGTTGACCAAACCGAATTTGATCCATTGGACCCATAGTCCCTTATTAGTTATTACATGTCCTATCAAATTATGGAGTATCAATCACACAATGAATAAACATGGATCCATGGAGGTTAGGGTGCTGCTGAGAATTTAAAAACTGCAAACGTCAACAAAATGTCAATCCTATGTGGATAAACATGGATCCACAATTCTTGTTTTTGCTCATTTGATTTTGTCTGAAAATTTCTTGGAATCCCAAATTCTTATCATCATAATATCCTCACAACTTTATCTAGTAAGTACTTCTCTTTTTCTCTCCTTTAATACAGTAGATAAAAAATATGATAATTTGTAATAATTAGTGTTCTTCAATTTGCTGGAATTAATAGTTGGATTTAAGCTATACCCTTTTGTTTTTCTTGAATTTCAGGTGTACCCATTTGTTAATTTGTCAACAGAAGTTGATTTTTGCAGTTATAAAGCATTATTTCTCGGTAAAAATGGAAGTTTTTTGTTCATAGGATCCAAGTAATCTGTTACATTTAGATTGAATTGCATAAATTTCTTCAATCTTTGCTGAAATTAATTGGGTTTTTGCTATTTTGTTTGTTTTCTGCTGGGAAGATCTCATTTTGTATTTGATGTTGAAAAGTGTTTGCTGATTGAAGTTATTTATTGATTTGTGAAGGGTTTGTAACTTGTGATTGTTGAATTTGTAATTTCTGAATTCTGGATTAATAGAGGGGATTAAAGATTTAGGGTTTTAGGGATGGTGTCTCATGTCTGGGAAAGACCCTGTTGAATCATTACTTAATTCAATTCAAGTTGTTAAAGATGCTTTTTCGCCGCTAGAAGCGGGTTTTAGAAAGGCTACTAAGGAGTTAGAGTTAACTTGGTTGGGAAAGAATGGCAATCGAAATGCTGAACTTTTAGGGCAGTTGAATGGTTCTAGCAGTACTGGTGTCAGTAGTAAGAACAGCAAACTTCATTACCCCTTCCCATGGTAGTTCTAATGAGGATAAGAGAAAAGGACCATCGATAAAGCTACCAATAAAGAGTATATTGGGCATGTTTTCGCCAAATTGTGCCAATGCTGATCCTAAGGTCAATATGTTAAATGAAAAGCCAAAAGAAAGAGAGTGGGGAAAAAAGGACGGATCGTGCTTGAACTGTTTGCAGTTTGCTATGACATGGTCGATGTTTCTCAATGGTTTTGCATAGGCATTTCCCACGCCTTTTAAATTAGGAAAGAAATGGTGCTCAAAGACAAGTGATGAGGGAAAGGGTTCGTGTGTCCGTTCGTCAAAATCATCAGATTTATGTGACTTTAAGACAAATGAGCCAAAAAGGGTATGTTTGTTATGATGTTGCCAAGAGAGGAAACAAAGTGCAATGAAGGGAAGCATTTAAGCCTCGAGCTGGTGGTAGCTCTCATTTTTTATCAGATAACACAGAGTCTGCAAAAGCTTGATCATGCTGCTAAACAAAATGAGGAAAGGTTTTATGAATCGTCATCACCCCCACCTCAATTCCCCTCTCACTTGGATCACTGGAAGACAGTGACTAGTATCTTAGAGGGTAAGAAGGCAGATATGAATGTCTTTTTAGGAAATTTAAAGTTTGCAAGAGTAGGTGGAGGCGTGGAGCACCATCTACCCTTGTTGGAGTTACATCTCCAGTGAAAGAAGATGGGGATGATAGTGTGTCTACTACTAATAGTGAGGAATCAGGAGGCTTAACAGCTCAAAAATTAGCCAGTGGGCTGCTTAATATCACTCTTTCCAATGTCAAGCGCTTGAAATCAACACTGTCAACCATTTCAATTTCAGAACTTATCGAGTTGGTGCCTCATCTTGGACGCTCTTCTAAAGACATTCCTGACAAGAAAAAGTTGTTTTCTGTGCAGGACTTCTTCAGGTACACTGAGGCTGCAGGTATGTTCAAATTATCTATTTACTGCTTCAATTATCAGCCACACATTAAATCCTTTTGCATTTTATTTTTGTTTCCCCATTGGTGCACGAAGGGTTAAACTATAGGTTGTGACAGTCGTAGATGCATTTGAGCTCTTATTTTTCATGTTTGGGTCTAGTACATACAAACCTGCACAAAAATCTTAGTTACATCAATGAGAAAGGATGATGCTTAAGTTGGTCTTATTTACAAGTTTTGTTTCCTCGTTTGGTGATTTCCTCTCTGCGACGAGGGAAGGAGCAAATATGAAACTATGAAAGTACATTTAAATGCTTTGGTATCACTTGGACAAGGTTATGGATCTTG